TGGTCCTTCAACTTACTTCATATGGTTTGTTGGTCTGTCAGAACACATGCACACGTGTGTGTGCAAACACACGTGCACATGTCTGTTTCTTACTATTGCCACCGCCGTCATTTCCCTTAGAAGCATACATTTTTCTGTATTTTCCTTACATTGGGTTCTTAGCTGCACACTGGATGATACTGTTTAGTTAGTTCTCAGTTTGTAATGCCAGGGTGGTCCAGCAAAGAGCTCAGGCTTTCTGCTCAAGCAGGCCTGGCTTCATACCCTGACTGCCACAAACCAGGTTGGTATTCTCTGTCAATTTATATAACCTCCTGCGGTGTTTTCACCTTAAACTCGGGATAATAACCCCTGCAGCTTAGGGTTGTTGACAAGAGTAAATGAGATAATGATTTAAAATCTCCTTTCTTCCCCTAAGACCTGTAAGAGAAAAGTTTCTCCGACATGGATGGGCGTTCTGTGAGCAGTGAAAGTCTGCTTCTGTCCACTTACACAATTTCTGAGTTCTGGTTGGGAGTCAACACAACCTAATTAACTCTGAATTTAAATCATTTAGTTTTTGCAAACTTAAAGACTATTGACACATCTTTTATCCTTTTATCTGTTGCCACTGTTTTGGTTCAGGGTTTGTAATTTTGTGTCGGTACTAATGAACAGTTTTCTTAGCTAACTTCGTTTTTCCTTTCTGTAAGTTAACATTAATCACCGTCCCCTCTAGTACTGTCAGAGTACCTTTTTTCCCCCCAAATATTTTATCTTTGTTTCATGTTCGCTGTGACTGAGTACAGGATAGGACATGAACTGTTAGGTAGTCTCATCTTTAGCCTTTAATATGATATCAGTCACAGTTCCCCACAGAATCCTACCTACTTCTTATGTGAGCTAAGTGTTTTGACTTGAAAAATACTTTGGGGTTGTATATCTTCCAAAAAACTCTTCTATGCAATTTTAATGTTAGGCCAGCTTTGGCTTGTAATGTAGGTGGAGTTGCTTTTATACTGTATGGCTCTGGACTCCACATGTATACTGACATTTACACATGTATACATGCACATGATGCATATATACATGTATGAATATACGTATTTTGTCTAAACATTTTAAAGATGGGTGTTGTAAGATGGATGAAACAGTAAACATTAATTTTAAGCAAAATAGATTTGTAATATAACAAGTCATTTAGAAATGACTTCTGACCCTATTGGACCTTATCACTTATTCTGCCTCTTTTGAGAGGGTCATATAGCTTTTGTTCTTGGCTCTATTGATGTAGTATACTAGATTTATTGATTTGCACATGTTGAACCATCTCTTCATCCTTGGGATGAATCCAACATGTTCATGGTATATGACCTTCTTGACGATTTGCTTCATTCTGTTTGCTAGTATGTTATGGAAGATTTTTGCATCTGTGTTCATTAGAGAGATTGGCCTATAATTCTCTTCTTTGGGTAGATCCTTCTCTGGTTTTGATATCAGGGTAATGCTTGCTTCCAGGAATGAATTTGGGAATATCGTTTCCCTTTCAATTTCATTAAAGAGTTTGAGAAGTAGTGGTATTAGGTCTTCTCTGAATTCCTTGTAGAATTCAGCAACTAATCCATCAAGACCAAGGCTTGTCTTTGGTTGTAGGTTTTTAATTACATCTTCCATTTCATTGGCTGTATTGGTTTATTTAGAAATTTTATATCTTCTTAATTAGTTTTGATAATTCATATGTATCTAGGAATCTGCCCATTTCTTCTGTGTCTTCCATCTTATTAGAAGATAGATTCTCAGTGTAAGTATTGATGATCTGTATTTCTGCAGGATCTGTTGTGATCTCACCCTTATCATGCCTAATTATATGGATTTGAATCTTTCCTCTTTTTTTTGACAAGATTGGCTAAGGGTTTGTCAATTTTATTCAGTCTTTCAAAGACCAACTCTTTGATTCATTGAGTCTGTGTGATTTTTTTTTTTTTAAGTCTCCATTGCATTTCTGCTCTGATTTTTATAATTTCCTCCCACACATGAGCTTTGGGCTTGACTTGCTGTTTTATCTAGAAGCTTGAGGTTCAGCACTAGGTTGTTTATTTGAGCCTGCTTTGTTTTCCTGATATGGGTATTCATTGCTATAAATTTTCCTCATAGGACAGATTTCATTGAGCCCCATAAATTCTGCTATGTTTTATTATCATTATCACTTAATTATAGAAACTGTCCAATTTCTTCTTTAATTTCATCAGTGACCCAGTGGTTGTTCAGGAGAATGTTATTTAATTTCCATGTGTTTATGAAGTTCTTTATGCTTTCCTTTTCCATTGATTTCCAATTTCATTGCACTATGGTCTGATGATATGCATGGGATAATTTCACTTCCTTTAAGTATATGGCTTTAAAAATGACTGTGATGATTGAGTCATTAGAAAGATTATATTATCTGGAATAAAAATGAGTGTGGCTTCAAGGATTGCATTTTACGATATGGCTAAGATTTTATAAGATAGGGACATTAAAATAGTTAATACTCAGCTGTCTAAAGTACATTAGGAAGAATCTGGTCATAGCCTTCTGTGCACATAGTTTAGTCTGATACTCTGGTTAGTCAGACCTGTGATAGCAGTGAGATTTTCTGCTAACTCTGCACGAAAAGATGTTACATTGAAATGAAACCTTTAGAATGAAAATAAATATCTTCTGTGAAACAGCTGAGGTCTGGAAAAGCTGTGTTGTCCCTGTGAGCCTGTAAAGAAAGAGGCAGAGGGCCCAGAGCAGCCTCTTCGGTGCTCCAGGGACGAAGAGGAGGCATGCTAAGAGACCAAGTGGTGCCAGCTAGGTGGGCCAGGGCAGCCATAATTTTTAAGACTTTAAAGCTATTGCTTTTTCAGTTTTTAATTTTTTTCCCCTTTCCATGTTTGTTTAGCTTGTTTTCTTATTGCAGTCTTTTAATGTAGGAGAAATGCCTCAATATTTGTTTCTCTAAAGCATTGAAGATTAGGATAATAGAGACATTCAAGCTCATTGTACTGTGCAGCTGCTTTTGTACTGAAAAGACTATGTTATTCTGAAGGAAGTTTTATGTTTTATCCTCTTGGTCAAAAACTCGATTCTTCAATTCCTTTATTCATTCTCTCTGGGATTACTCAGTGTTTACTTTCTTTGCTAATGACAGGGTTCTCATAATAACATGCTGTTTCTTGTTCTGAGATTTGGCAGACTCAGCCTGGTTTTTATTTCTCCAAAACGTGTGAACTTTAGGGAAACAGAATAATTTTTTAATAAAAGGACCTTACCTATCTGTTTTTGTCCAGACTGATAGACACATCCGTTTATTAATCTGTCTCTTTAGTTGCCAGATTCTTCATGATTCAATGTGACTTAAAAATACTATTATTGGAGGTCTTTCATTTACCTCTATTGTTTTCAGTAGATATACTGTTTCTGTAGGATCACTTTTGATAATGGTGGCATGAAAATCATTAAAGAATTTCCTGGAATATAAGGATGTAGAAAATGGTGGCACCCTTTCCCGATGCTGAGCTCTTTAAAGTATTGTAAAACTATAAGTAGGTATTTTTTTGGAAGTCTCTCTTCTTGCCAGATAAAAATAAGAATAAAAATTGCTGTTTAGTGTTCTACAAAATTAATGACCCACTTTCAGTTTCTCATGTAAAGGGTTCTCTAAATAGTATTCAGATTAGTTTGCATTCCACCCATGCTACCTCTGAGAGCCACCTCCTACTCTTTTGATGGTTCCCTAAATGATTGTTTTCAACAAAACAGAGAGCCTGTGGTTACTGTAGAGAGCTGTCTTTTATGAGTTGAGGAACAGGTCTCACTCTTGAGTCTTAGGGGTGAGTGCTACTACTTTTTGAAAACTGTTTTCACGTTTGTTTCTGGATTCTTTTAATACTCCTGAGTAGCTTCTGGCCTTGAGTGATGTTTCCAACTACCATGTTTTGCCTCTTTCCGTGCAAGGAGTATTTGAGGATCTGTTCTTGACAAATGTAGGTAGGGCCAGCTTCAGAGTATCCCTCTAGTTGACAGTATCATGTGAGTTTCACAAGTTGGAAAGAGATGGTGTGTGTGTGTGTGTGTGTGTGTGTGTGTGTGAGAGAGAGAGAGAGAGAGGCACACAAGTGCAGGCAAATGCACAAGTGAGCGTGCCAGTGTACACATGTATCTGCATATTTGTGAAACAAGCTGATGTTTATTCTAGTCATTCATTTATTATTCACATTACTAACTAACCAATCTACTTAGCAGTTTATCAGTAGATATTTATTGAGGGTCTGCTGCGTGGTTGTATGTGTCAATAGGAAGATAAAAGTACAGACATTGATTAATACATGGTTACGGCTGTCTTGGAGCTGACTAGTTGAGAGAAACAAGATGTGCATGTACAGAAAACTGTGAATGAGTAGGTCAAGGAAGTACAAGATTGTATCCTGAGTGCCACATTAGTGATTCATTCAGGCCAGGAGTATAAGGAATTTGGAAAACAGAGAAATGAATTAGTAAGAAGATCAGGGAGCGCTCCAGTGCACAAGGACAGATGGCTTCATCTCCGCTAGGGAAGGTGAGTCTGGGTGTGAAAGACAACAATGAAGGAAGGGACATCTCGAGGGCACTGCTGGGGCATGGAGCCAAACATTAGCTGTTGGTGTTAGGGGAGAAATACTGAGAGGATGCTGATTGGGTCTGTAGGATGCTGTTGCAGTACTGGAACTTAAACTGGTTCAGTGGGGCAGGTGCTTTTATGTATATTACAGTTATGGGGCATTTATAGACTGTTGAAAGTTGTGTATTTCCAAATGTTTATACTTTCCAGTCTGCATTTGATTCCGGCACACAGCTTCTAAGAAAAGTAAATGATGTTAACTATTTGAAGAAAATTTGTGTTTTAACACAGGCTTGGTATTAATATTTGCAGAAGTTATTTCATAGATATATTGTAATGATAATGGTTAATGGCCTTGTGAAGAACACTTGATTAACTCAGTGAATTTTTTTCCTAGGCCGGACCTGATAGACATGAATACTGTTGCTGTTCAAAGCAACCTTGCAAATTTAGAGCATGCTTTTTATGTAGCAGAGAAAATTGGTGTTATAAGACTTCTGGACCCTGAAGGTGAGTTTTTCTTGCCTAGGTATAGACTGGCTCAAAAGCCTGATCACAAGCAAATTACCAGCATTGTGAAATAATGTATGTTACTGGTTTTAGATGTCGATGTCTCCTCCCCTGATGAAAAATCAGTTATAACCTATGTGTCATCTCTTTATGATGCATTTCCCAAAGTCCCTGAGGGTGATGAAGGCATCAGTGCAAATGTGAGTATTTAGTTTCCTGTACTAGAAGCTACTGATACTGTGAGGACTGGTTGACTGAATTTTCTGGGTTTTGACAGTTCTTACCTTTTTATTTTTATCTATGTATGTATTTTTTTTTTTTTTTTGGTACTAAGAATTGAACCCAGGACCTTGTGTATGTAAGGCAAGCAGTCTACTACTGAGCTATATCCACAGCCCTTTAATATTTTTAGATAGGTGCTTACTAAGTTGCCCAGGCTGCCCTCAAACTTGTACTCCTTCTGTCTTAGCGTCTTGAGGAGTTGGGATTACAGGTGTGTGCTGCCACACCTCCCTTACAATTTTTACATGGCGAATATATTTTAATGATTTTGACAGCATTCTGGGAAACAGAAGCAGGAGAATCAAAACGTTGAGCCCAAAGTGGGCAACTTAGACTCTATCTAAAAAAATAAAAAAAAGATCTGGGGAAGTAGCTCAGTACAGCACCACATATAACAAGAATTTGAGTCAATGTGCTGTTTAATCAACAGATACTATACGCATTTCCTCATAGCACCTTTCTTTCCCTGGGAATTGGGATCCTGGTGGCTCTAGGAGCCATCTCTCACTCCTCTATCTTTTGAGCATTTGAGGGAAGAATTCATTCAAGACACATAGGCAGCCACGCAGAAGCTGGGCAGAATTTATTGTAAAGCAAATATGGAGAGAGTTATACCTTCAGAGCAGGTGGGTCATGCCCCAAAGGCACTTAATGGTCTCTTGCAGTAAATTAACAGGGTAATGTTTTCTAATTTAAAGAGGTGGCCTACAGGAAGGTGTAGTTGGATTTGGCCATATTAACAGAACTAGATCTCTCACAACACAGATCATTATATTTATCAGGTTTTTGTTTCCCAAAAGTTAGTATAATTTAATTCGGTCATGCATTTTGCAGTGGTCTTGGTGACAAGTGTTTATGTGTTTCTGGCAGAGAATAAGACTGCCACACATCAGGGGGGAGGGTCCTGCTTGATCTGGCCTCTTTCCCGCTTTCTTGCAAATGCCTTTTGTTTCTGCATTACTTTGAAAATTTGGGAGCCCCTTTCTGGTCGCTTACTCATCTGGGTGTTGTTTCTGGACTTACTTTTATTCTCATCCTGCTTTTCTTCCTCACAAATGTCTTGGGCCTTTGCACCCCAGGTAGCTTGTTCTGATGAATAACGTGTCATGATTGCTCTTTGATCCTGGATGTTGCTTCAAAATGTTTCTCCTTCCTTGCAGTACTTCTGCTCTACTCCTGCCTCTTCCCCCTTTGCACTAGAACTAGGGTGACAGCTGTGGCTTTCTGTTCCAATTTTTCCCTTTCCCATCAAATATGCATTTTGTTGCCAAATCTTCCTAAAACTTAAAATTCCTAAAATTTACAGTGGTGATGTATTATTTATAGGCTAAATCCAATCTAGATGTCCTGATGTTCAAAACTCTAAATATATTAATTGTTCTTACCTACATTTTTTTGTCAGAGTTTTCTCAAAATCAACTATTTATTAGTAGCCTGGGCATTTCCATTTCAGAGTCCTGGCTCATTTGGGGCTGCTGTGTCTTTTATCTACTCTGTCCTTGCCCTTCTTCATCTCTCTCCAGTAACTAAAGAATTACTGGTCATGGTAGAATATTGTAGAGATACCCTTTCCTAGGAAACCTTCAGTGGCCATTTCAAGGCACACATGTACTTGACTGATTATTATCTCAGTTTATAACATATGCAGTATACCTGTTTCAGTTCTTCGAACATGTAAAAGCTTTTCATTTTGCTTATCTGCTTATACTATAAATTTCTCCTGTTTCTCTATCTAGATAGCATCTCCTTGACAACAGGTAATATGTCTTAAAGTTTTATTTTTTATCACAACACTGAGCACATAATAAGCATTCATAATAAACATTCATCAATACTTAAATCAGTATAGCAGTTGACAGTCTCCCAGTTTCTTTTCTTTTTAAAAAGTTTGCTTAATGAGTACTTGAATGAACTGCCTCATCCAGTTCATTCCTACTGGTTCCCTACATATTGCGCAACTCTTTTGAGTGTAAGAAATTCAGTAGACTGCTATCTAAAAGGTTGGCAGAGATGACTGGCCTTGTTTAGGCAAGCTATTAACTATGCCTTCTTGAGACCTGGAAAACACCCCAAATTGATCCTGGCATTGGTTTTTTTCTGTTGTTGTTCTTTTGGTTGCAAACCCAGAAGCCTTCTCAATGTACTCTCCCAGGTGGCCACTATCTTCGGATCGGATTTGACACTCGTTTGGCAAATGTAACTGGCCAAATGTTTATAGCAGATTTTAAAAGCTGTTTTGTAGAAAGAATTGTGGCTGAATCGAAAGTAAAAAAACCACTTAACTGGTTCACTCTGTCAAGCCTCAGCACATAAAAAAAGACACAATGACTTCTGACTAAATTGTGTTAGATGTGAATGTTGTTATCTGTAGACACAAACTTTGTCATTTTATCACTTTAGGATGTTGACATCAAATGGATTGAATACCAGAATATGGTGAACTACCTCATCCAGTGGATTAGACACCATGTGGCCACAATGTCTGAGAGAAAATTTCCTAATAATCCTGTAGAACTAAAGGTTGGTATCATAGGGAAGTTCACCAGGATTTATTAGATAATAAACTTTTAACTGTGATAATTCCATAATTTTAGACACACAAGAAAAGTTGTTGGCAGGCCATGAATAAGTAGGCAAAATTTTAATTTGCTTATGTCCCTATTATATAGAGAAAACGTAGATAAAAATAATTAAAACATTAAAGCAATAGCATCTTAAAGAGATTGATAGACTCTGAGCTACATTTATTGAGAGTTCAAAAAGCCCTGGAAGGATCATTGCCGTGCTGTTTCTGGTGGGGAAACACTCGGAGCCCACAGGTGGTGGCAGGAGGCCTCGAGGAGGACGGCACACACGCCACAGTGGTGGGGAGCACACCTCGCTGGAGTCCGGTCACATGCTGCCTCTAGGCCTTCTCCTGTGGAGCGAGAGGTGTGTTCTAAATTTTATCACGCATTCAAAAGTACACATCTAACTTTCAGTGCAAGTAAATTCAGAATTGGCGCTCATGAGGCTAGGGTTAGTGGGCAAATGGTTTAGCTAAACATTTGCTAATACTAAAGAACTGAGGTCAGACTCTTTGAGGCAAAGATGTTGTAACAATAGAAAAGATAGATATGTAAACTCATTGCAGAGTAACTTGACACATTTTGTGTATATAGGTTTGAAATAGCAAAGCACTCTGTTTTTACAGATTGATATTGTAAGTATTAACTACAAAGCCTAATTCCTTGATTTGTAAACTTTGTTGTCATGTTCAGACTGGAATCATGAAAACTAATAACCCAGGGTAGGTCATTATAATCAATTATGCTCTGTGTTCTCGCATCTGTATGGAATATCTGGAACACAGCTCGTATTCATATTGCCACAGGGAGTTTCTCCTTGGCATGAAGTAACTAGGCATCTGTTGATAAGATGCATTTTGAAAGTGCCCTAGTGTTGTTTGTATGATGTCTCCCTATGCAAATATGAACTTTTCCAGGAAGAGAAAGCTTTTCCCTTCTACTACCGTGGTGCCACAAATATTGGGTACCACATAGTGAGACTGAGTGCTTAATGCCCAACAGAGGTCCTGAACGGTGACATTTTTAGGTCAAAACAATTTTTTACTTCAAATACACTTATTTCCAGGTGCATTCTGATTGTCCAGACCTTTGGGTGAATTTGTACTTGCTTCTGATTGATGGAGATTCTTAAATTTGTCAAAGAAGTTTGACTGTGCTGATTATTTGCTAGTTCCTAGGATAGACTAGGACATAATGCAGGAAAGAAAATATATTATGAAGAAATGCTAAATAATTGTTTTAACCAGAAAGCCTTTGAGTAGAATTCTATAGAAATGTGTCCACCTGAAGATTTATATATATATATTTCATTGAGTTTATTGGTACTTTCTAGGTATATAGTACAGTTATATTCATCATTGGGATCTTATACCTTTACATGACAGGTCTTGGTTCTCCTTTTGTCCCCATACTCCTGTCCTTCCTTCACCCCTTCCACCCTTCCCTGTTTACAAAAACTTTGTTTCCATATTTTTATTTTCTCATATTAAAGATTTATATTTTAATGCAGCTTGAATTAAAATAGTATATATGTATTAAATGAAGCATTTTATATGTATAATTTCTATGAAAATCTTTATAACAAGCACATTAAATTATATCTAAGAGGTTTGCAAGTTAATATCTATATTCTCCAATGAATAGCAATCTTATAGTTTAACTATGTGGTTGAGACTTTTTTTTTTTTTGTACCAGGGATCGAACTCAGGCCCTTGCGCTTGCAAGACAGGTGGTGGAACCACTGAGCCAAATCCCTGGTCCTGAGACTTCTGTGTTAATAAGCCCATCAACTAACAGTGTCTGCCTTCATTTAAGAAAAGCTGTTTTCATTGGCCAGTGGGACATTGAAACCAAATTTTAGCCCTTGTTAGCCAAAAATTCTGTTTTCAAGGATAGAACATGAAATAGAAAATGTTTTTCTTTCTTTGTGGGAATCTCATCAGTTTATTTTTCTAAAACCTGATAGCTAAGGTGCACCATTTGGAGAGTACATGTCTTAAAGGATAGGCTTTTTTGTTGGTACTGAGAGACTTTCATCAAGTCCCAGAAGGCCTGTTGTGGTTCATTATTATTTAGGTTCATTATTATTGGGTGGTGCATGTTAAAACATGGCTCACATCTCTAATTACATCCTCATCAACTTGTATATAACCCAGATCACCAGCTGCCTGGGAATGGGTATTATCCTTATGTGTTGATTTTATAAAGGAATTTTCATTGAATGCTCATTACACAGTAAATAGCATTTGCAGTGGTGAAAAATTAGATAATGAAAGCAAGTCTCTGAAATTTGACCCTTAATTTATTTTCACTTTCATTTAGGCACTTTATGATCAGTATTTACAGTTTAAAGAAACAGAAATCCCACCAAAGGAGACAGAAAAATCAAAAATTAAACGCCTCTATAAATTGTTAGAGGTAAGTGGAAATTATATTATCAGGCATCACCCTTATTTTTTTTAAATCTTAGCTTTGAATTAACAAGTTTTTTTTCCTCAAGATTTGGATAGAATTTGGGCGCATCAAACTCCTTCAAGGTTATCATCCAAATGACATAGAGAAAGAGTGGGGGAAACTCATTATCGCCATGCTTGAGAGGGAGAAGGCACTTCGCCCTGAAGTAGAGAGGTAGGAAGATGTTTGCTGCCCTGGGATAAGGTGGGAGGAGCCTCTTTGTTCTTTGGGAAAGAGCTTGACTTTTAGAGCCAGGCAGATGGAGGACCGGTCTTTCCCTTTCTCATTTATTTGGTGTATGAACTTCAATAAGTAACTTCGTCTTTCTGACCCTCCATTTTCTTGTATATGAACCCTTCTGAGAAGATAAAATGAGTAAATCAATGAAGTAACTTTATAATGGACCTGGTAGGCTGAACTGGTGTGTAAAGTCTCGTCTTACAGTAGTTGGAGGGTTGTTTTGTTGTTTTGTTTTTTTGTTTTTTGCTTTTTCTATTGGCAATCAGACCCGGGGCGTTCTACCAACTAAAGTGCATCTCCAGTCCTTGAACCCTTCTTTCTCTTTATTATTCTAGGAAAGGTTCTTGCACATTGCCTAGGTAAGAATTGGACTTGGGGATTTTCCTGCCTCAGCCTCCCTTAGTGCTGCGATTTCTGTGCCTGGCTTCAGTAGTTTAAAACCAGTTAGGGTTATCTATAAGAATCTGCAAACTCTTTATGTCAGTGGATCTGGAAGCCTACAGGTTAGCAATTAACTTTTTTGGTTACATTTTTGGCCATGGCCTTCCTTCCCTGGGACAGAGGGAACCCATTTCTAGTGTACCACCATTTAAAAGCAATAGGGTCATGTTAAGAAAACATTCAGTCAGTGCCTGCTTAGGTGATTTCATGAAATCACCACTGACTCCTTACTGTTCTGTCCTCTCACAGCACTGTTTCCCAGCGAAGGTACAGCATCATCGTTGGGAAACCTTTGGTGATGATGATGGTGGTGGTGCTGGGGGCAGACCCCAGGGCCTGGCACTTATTAGGCAAGTACTTTGCCATCGAGGTGCATGGCGGCCATGCGGGGAGATTTGTCTCAGTACAGACCTCCCAGCCTGAGTGTTTCGTGTGGCATTGCGACCTGCACTCCTCTGGCCTGCTGTGCTGGGCAGGACACTGGGTTTGTGCAGTCTCTTGCTTTGACAGGGGCATCTGGTTCATCCTTCCTGTCTCTTTATTTCTGTTCATTCTTAGAGCCCAGTTCTTCCTCGAGAACCTTCCAACAGTGTGGAAACACTCATTGTTTCTGTCCCTTGTGGTGTTAATGATTTACACAGTACCTGGCCCATTAATGCAGTCATGTAATAAATATCTCGCACATTGGCTTCAGCATTGCTACAATATGAAATAACATGTGAAGACAGGAGGGCTCGTCAGTGTTTTATTAAATTACTGATTACCTGCTTGTTAAAGCATAATGCTATATTTCTATAACTGGATTGTTTGAATTGAAATAAGCTTGACACTCACAGGATTAAATTTTTTTTTTTTGGACTGGGGATCAAACTCGGGTCCTTGCACTTGTGAGACAGGCGGCGGAACCACTGAACTAAATCCCTGGCCCAGGATTAAGGTTTTATGGAGCTGGTAACACTGGGTGATTAAAATGAGATACTTCGCTAACCATGTGAAATAAAGGAAAAAAAAAGCCAGAGAAAAACGATGGAGAGTAAAGTTTTAGTTGTTACAATAGTAGATGAAATATATATATATATTTTATACCGGTGATTAAACTCGGGTCCTTGTGCTTGCAAGGCAGGCCACTGAACCGCTGAGCTAAATCCCAGCCCTAATATATATGTTTTAATCCACTCTGTGTTGCAGTAACAGAATGCAGTACCATATGCTGGGTAATTTAAAAAGAAAAGACATTGGCTGGAGCCAACGTGGGGTGTATGCCCAGAATCCCAGCACTTTAGGAGAGTGAGGCAGGAGAATCTTATTTTGAGTCTCATCTAAGCAGCTAAATAAGACCTCCCTCAAAATACAAAATAAAAACAGCTAGGGATATTCAGTCCCTGGGTTCAATCTCCATTTTAGTACCAGAAAAAAATACTAGTCAGGTGTGGTGGCCTATGCCTGTAATTCCAGCACTCTTGGAGGCTGAGGCAGGTGACCACAAGTTTCAGCCCAGCATGGCCAACTTAGTGACTGACTGAGACTGTTTCAAAATAAAAATAAAAAAGACTGAAGATGTAGCTACACGTGAAGGTTCTGGGTTCGATCTCCAACTCACAAAACGAGAAAAATCACTGCTCAGTCCCAGAGGTTGGATCGCAGTGTTGCCTTCGTATCTGGGGAGGGCCATTGTGTCGCCTCCTCCACTGCTGGAGAGTGGAAAGGGAGAGAAGGTAGGAAGAAGAGACAGAGACACAGCAGACACAGACAGTGCACGTGCATGCACCTGTGAGAGAGCAGGTGTTCTTGCGCAGCACAGTGGCCAGACCTGCCTTACCGGGGGTTGTGCCACTCCAGCCATACAGCATGAATCTGTTCAGAGGGGCAGGCACTTGGTGGTCTGATCACCTCTCCCATGTCACAGCTCTCAACAACCCTGCCTGGGGCTAAGTCACCAGCACGTGCACTTCAGAGACACTTTCAGGCCACAGCAGAAGGTGACATCTAGTTTCAGTTTGGTGGTGAGGGTTAGAATGATCTGTTTATGCTAATTAGAATGGAGTTAAGAGTTCAGGATTCAGGAAGCTGCCAGCCAATCCTGGATTGCATTTGTTTCCTCAGCTTACAAGTTGTGTGATTTTATACTTCACAAATTCTTTGACCTTGGAGCCTCAGTTTCCACGTTTGTAAACAAGAATGTAATAGCACTCACCGCAGTTAGTGGTGCTGTTTTTGAGGTGGAGCAACTGTGTGTAAAAATGACTTGTTTCCTGGCGCAGAATAATGGCGTAATGAATGTTAGGTGGTAGTGTCACTGTTTTTTTTTAAGTAGTTTCATTTACTCACAATATTTTATATAGTTCTCAGATGTCTCTTTTCCTACCTTTGTGAAGAAAAATTCCTCAGAGTAGAGAAATGAGTCTGGCTTTGCAGTGGTGCCAGTAGGAAAATACTGCAGAGTGTGGTTGGATAAATGCCTTCACTTTTCTTGACACAACACGTTTTTTGGCATTGACTGTACTTCACAAGTAGAAGCTACGCAGCATGGTATGTACAAATGACGAATAGGAAAGAGTCACTTTTATGCCATGTAATTACCTGTATAAAGGTGAAACAAGCACAAATTAACTTTGTAGCTATTGCATTAACATTCCATTTATTATTTAAGCTTTTAGAAATATGAAGTAACTATAGTAGCTTAGAAAATATTATTGAAAGCACGTCACATGAGGGATGGTAAGTGGAAGCCAGGCGTGGTGGCACATACCTGTAATCCCAGCACTTTGGGAGGCTGAGGCAGGAGGAGCGCACGTTTGTGCCCATCCTTGGCACCTTGATTATTTAGCAAGACCATGTCTTGAAATTAAAAAAAAAAAAAATTAAAGGTCTAGGGTAGCTCACTGTGAAGGCCCTGGATTCAGTCTGTAAGTGCATTTCATCTCAGAAAAGGTAAATGGGTTAGTTTCCAACTCATTTAATTTTACGGACCAGTGATATGGGATTAAAATGGAAACGAAATTTTGTTTCTCTTGTTTATGGGTACTTGATGGTTTCCAGCTCTTTGCCTCATGTTATGCAGTTCAGACCCAGCCTGTGCAGAAGTCAGGCTATGAGCAATTCTTGTGTTCTTTTTGTGATGATTAGTGTTGTCAGAATAACCGTCACTAGTAATACCTGGGCTTCTGGGATCTGGGTTGTTTTTTAGGTGTTTGAAACTGGATGACTCTTGGTGAAAATATTTGGCATATCTTTCCAGCAACACCCCAGTCTGCCTGATTTGTCTGTACTTGTAGGAGCAAGCTGCAAAAGGCAAACCTCAGTGAGCAAACGAATGGCTTTAGGCAAAATTCTTTGGAATAGTTATCAGCATATCATTTGCTGTGTGTTGCATATGCATGTTGAAACCTATTTAAGGAGCCACTAAATTTGTAATATTCAGCTGCCACTTTTCACCGTTAGAAGTAGAGTTTTTCCTAGACCTTCCACTTCTTAGTCAACTTTTAATGGTCAAGGGACTAAAAATGCATAGCAGTAGTTACAGTTACCAAAGCAGCGATTCTGTGTTTAGTAACACTGCCAGCACTCGAACCAGTCTTGATTCAAATGAAAATTTTCTCTCGGTTCATTGTGGTCCGACCCTGATCAACTCCTGCATTAGCTTTGGCAATGAATCCTTCGAAGGACGCAGGTATTGAATCATGGGTGCGGGCTTCGGGTTGGCAGTGTTTTTCATGGATGGCACACTGTTTGATTTTCCTTCCTCCTGTTCCTTCTTTCAGGTTGGAAATGCTCCAACAGATTGCCAGCCGCGTCCAGAGGGACAGTGTCATCTGTGAAGACAAACTGTTACTCTCCCGGAGTGCTCTCCAGTCTGTGAGTTCAGTGCAGGAGCCACTGGGGCTGTTGGACAGGGCTCAGAGTGTATTTCAGTGAACTAAACCTTTTGGATAACATTTGGTTGATGCTTGGTATATTTCTTCTGCTGAAAAAACTTAGTTTATTAATGATGGTTTGCTCTCTGGAGAGCCAGTGAGCAAAGGGAAAACATATTTTTGAACCAAAAATAAAACAAAAAAGCCCAAGTAGGCTTCTGTCCTAATGATTGGAGTTTTAAATTTTAGGCTAATTCTGACATTTATTTCATAGACATAATATTGAGTTCTTTTAAATACAGGATTCCAAAAGACTAGAATCAGGGCTGCAGTTTCAGAATGAAGCAGAAATTGCCGGGTACATACTTGAATGTGAGAATCTTTTACGCCAGCATGTTATTGATGTACAGATTCTTATTGATGGAAAATACTACCAGGCAGATCAATTGATACATAGGTAAGAGCCTTGCCCTGTCTTTTTGGGTAACAATTTCATGGGCACTTGTGATCAGAACATATAACATTGTATGAAATACATTCTTAGCTCTTTTTAGATGAAAAGTGTGTTGAAAGATTAGTAGGAAAAGCATTTTATATTTCATATGGTAATTGCTGCATTAGTAACTACAGTATTACAGTGAGGGTTTTAAGTGCATGTCTATCATTTACATATGTGAGGCTGAGGAAGCAATGGCATGGGCACATACTTAATGTGCTCACGGCCCCGTGTTCATACCCCAGCACCACGCGATGAGTGAACAAATGGACGAACGCAAGTGACTTTGGAAGACGAAAATATAAGAAAACTGACATTTTAATTCAATTTGTACATCTTCTTTTTATCTTGTTACTAAATGTTCATAATCAAATGTTGGGGAAAATGTCTATAAACATATATATCTCTAAGTAATGGGTTTGAGATTAGGAATAGAAGCATATATTGCAGCCTGAAAGTTTCTACTTAATCTGTATATAAATATATAGAGATATATATTACAAACACACACGTATATATGTGTATATATAGATAAGCAAAGGTTGTAAAACATGTTTGATCCAGTAATTTCATTTTAGAAATCTATAGTGAATCTAAATGTGGATACTAAAGATGTAAAAACAGAAAAAAAGCTTTATGTTTATACCAGAAATACTTTGTAACAGAAGTTTAGAATTATATTAAATGTCGGATAGGAGGCAAACCATCACATTAAAATGTGATAATAATTGTAATCCTCATAAATGATACTAACTAATGTGGAAAGTGCTCGTGGTAAAACTGTCAGTGAAAAAGAATCAACCATGCAAAATTTTATCAGTATGATTACAATGACTTTTTAAAAAATAGTCTCTTTTGAGCAATTTGGGTTTACAGAAAAACTGAATTAAAAGTAGCATTTTTGTATGCCCCTTTTCACCTCACCCTTTCCATATTATACATCTTGCATTAGTGGTGTATACTAGACTTGATAAGCTATGATTGATTTATTATCATCAAAGAAAGTCCATAGTTGACCTTAGGGTTCACTCTTTGTGACAGGCACCTTTTATCCTTGTTTTGCCCCTTTTTTCTTTTCAGGGTTGCAAAACTGCGTGATGAGATTTTGGCCTTAAGAAATGAGTGTTCCTCCGTGTATAGCAAAGGACGCATGCTGACAACAGAACAGACGAAGCTCATGATATCAGGAATTTCTCAAAGTTTAAACTCAGGGTTTGCACAGACCTTAAACTCCACTCTGAACTCAGGGCTGCCCCAGAGTTTAACACCTTCCCTGACCTCTTCTAGTGTGACGTCTGGCCTGTCATCAGGGATGACTTCTTGCCTAACTCCATCTGTCACTCCGGCTTATACACCTGGTTTCCCATCATGTTCAATTCCAAACTTTAGCTCAGGAGTAGAGCCAAATTCGTTGCAGTCTCTAAAATTCATGCAGATCCGAAAACCCCTTCTAAAGTCATCTTTGCTGGCTCAGAATTTAACAGAAGAGGAAGTCAACATGAAATTTGTTCAGGATCTTTTGAATTGGGTTGATGAGATGCAGGTAAAAAAATGTTTTTATGTGAGCATTTCAGTCCTTATTGCTGTCAATTTTTTTAATCTAATATTTTGGTATTAAAGGTGCAGCTGGATCGGACTGAGTGGGGCTCAGATTTACCAAGTGTTGAAAGCCATTTAGAAAATCATAAAAATGTTCACCGAGCTATAGAAGAATTTGAATCTAGCTTTAAAGAAGCTAAAGTCAGTGAGGTATGTGGATCTGGAATTTTTATCTATTTCATTGTTTCGCTCTTAGCATGAAGATTTGCACTGTAACTCAATAATAGATGTCTCAAGAGTAAGAATTATTTAAGACCCTTAAAACTTGATGTCTTTTCATCCTGTATTATAGATTCAAATGACAGCACCTTTTAAGCTAACTTACTCAGAAAAGCTGCACAGATTAGAGAGCCAGTATGCAAAACTCTTGGTAAGTTTTGTTTTTGTTTTTAAGCCTTTTATTTCTTTAATCTCTTTTGGAGAAGATATGATTTTTTGGGGGAAGGTAAGATTCTTATAACAATTTTCTTTATAAAGAATACATCCAGGAATCAAGAACGACACCTTGACACACTCCATAATTTTGTAACTCGTGCAACTGATGAACTTATTTGGTTGAATGAAAAAGAAGAAGAGGAAGTTGCTTATGACTGGAGTGAGAGAAATACCCACATAGCCCGGAAAAAAGATTACCATATTGTGAGTACAACTTTGTCCTTGCATTCTGAGTTGTATTTTAGGTTTAGATTTTTCTCTGACGTACTTCTTAATTCTTTCTTAAATTAGGAATTAATGCGAGAACTTGAACAAAAGGAAGAAAATATTAAATCAGTTCAGGAGATAGCAGAGCAGCTTCTTCTAGAAAATCATCCAGCCCGTTTAACCATTGAGGTAAGTTAGAAAGTTTAACAGTCTGGGTTGAATACTGCTGTGTGATTATTACCCTTCTTTCATTGCTGATAAGTTGAAAAATGTAAACTGCCACATTTTTTAATTATAATACGGCTTAAAAATAATGTTTCTAACAAATTGTCCTGATTTTGCCTTTCATTCAGTTGCTTTTTAAATATATCGATGAGCGTTTAGAATAAAGTTGCCTTGTCATTTTCTGTGGCCAATGAGGTGGAGGGGTTCAATGGTAGGAGCACATGCTTAGCTTGTGCACAACCCTGGGTTCAGTCCCCAGCACCAAAAAAACAATGAACACAAAGGCAGCCCAATTTGATCAAGCAGATAATATAAGCATGATATATTGGCAGATTTCCATTTCTGCCCAGTACATTCTGTTCAGAAGACCTGCCTGAACATATCTCAGCAGGAAGGAGTGTTCCAAAGGGAGGAAAGATGACAGGCTTGTATTGTAGTTATAAAAGCATTGAGCATGCCCTCTCCTGGATGGCAGTGAATTGTACCGTAACTGTAAAAGTGTGACATTTTGAAGTAAATATCCATTCTGCAGTATTTGTTGCCCTCATGACGGATCCACTTCAGATTAAATAAAGTTCAAGTAAATAATTTTTAAATAAAATTCATGTATTATAATTACCATAATTGCAGAACTACTCATAGGATCTGTGCATTCTCTTTTTCACCCATCCCAAACCTGTCCTCAGCCAAAATGAGGATGAAAACTACAGAACCATATAATTCCACTATTAGAAGGTATATTTGTGATTTACCAATATAGAAAGTCAAAACCAGGTATGGTTTTGCACGCCTATAGTCCCTGGACTCTGGGAGGCAGACAAGAGACTTGCCAAGTGGAACCCAGCTTGGCTTTAGTAATTTAATGAGATCCTTTCTCAGGAATAACAGCTGACAAGGGCTGGATCTGCAGCTCAGTGCAGAGGCCCTGGGTTCAATCCCCAGTGTCACACACACACACACACACACACCACACACACACACAAAGCGGAAAGAAGAAAGATGATGGTATTATAAAGGAAAGCATATTTGAGGATTCCATAGAGCAGGTAAAAGGGTTAGTGGCAAAAGAGTAGAGGATAGTTTGCATTTATTTCAGATGTTTAATTTTTTCTCATGTAAAAACAGCCAGAGTTAACCTTTTCCTTATATTTTAAGGAAAAACTTTAAGAAGTTTAAAATTTGAGAGTAATCAACTGGCTTGATTTAAAAGCTAACACATAAACTTTAGGATTGGCTGTGGAAACAAGAACTCATAAATGAAGAGGAGCATTTGGCTACCCTGAAGTCCAGGTTTCATTGTGTCAGAACTGCGTCATCTGTTTAGCTAGTGAAGTGTTTCATTGTTCAGACAGCATCAACGTGCACATACCTAATTCTTTTTGTTGCCTTTAGTTTTTTTCTTGTGCTGGGGATAAAGGCCTGCGTCTCATACGTGCTGGGCCAGCCCTCTGCCCCTGAGCCACATACCAGTCCCATGTACTTCACTGCTCTCCAGCCAGCTTCAGTGACTGTGTTTTATCTTTAAGGCCTACAAGGCAGCGATGCAGACGCAGTGGAGCTGGATCCTGCAGCTCTGCCAGTGTGTGGAACAGCACATAAAGGAGAACACTGCATATTTTGAGGTATGGAATAAAATCACAGCTTCAAGAGACAACATTGGGATTTTGGCTGACTTTCAGAAATCTTCATAAGTTTCTAGAATTTGCAGACACATATGTAATATAAGTGAAGATTTTCCCTTGTAGGACATGAGGGTTGCTTTCATTTCCTGGAGAAGAGATTGCAGCGTGCTGTTAAGACAGAAATCCTTTGCTCGCATACCATATAATCCTTGGATTCGACAAACCTGTCTCTTGTTAAGGAGTGCTATTTACTATAGACAGTGAACCAAATGAGCTCTTCATTTTATTCTTCAGGAGATTTAAGTATTCTTAGAATTCCACCCTACTTAAAACTTAATAAGCCCTAAAGTAAAATAGACTTTCCATCAAAATAATACAGAGCCAAAACATGATATACACATATAAACTTTGGAGACTTAGCATCCACTTAGAACCACCCAAGATCAAGGGTTATTTGGTTCAGAGAAGGATGTACCTATTTTTTGTGTGTGTGCCTTTATTTTTTTCTCAGTTATGAGTGGTACACAGGGCTTTGACACCCAGACTTGACAACTGTGCATTACAGGCATCTAGCATATTGTAATTGCCACATTTTATTTTCTCTTAGTTTTTCAATGATGCCAAAGAAGCTACTGATTACTTAAAGAATCTGAAAGATGCCATTCAGCGGAAGTACAGCTGTGATAGATCAAGCAGCATTCACAAGCTGGAAGACCTTGTTCAGGAATCAATGGTACAAATGCAAAAACCTCTGTGTTTCATTAGAAATGTGTGCTAAGAATTGCTGTTTTATTATATTTTTATATGTGCAGAACTTTATATCTTATTGGTATTCGATATCTCCACCTAATTCAAGTAAGCATTCAAACACTATTGTAGTATTTTTTGACAATAAATACAACACAGTGTTTTTTGTTTTGTTTTTGTTTTTGGGTTTTTTTTTGGTGATCACCTTCATGTTTTAAAATACTTCAGTGGTGTTCTTGTATGGGTGTATTTAGCTGTTCCTTTCACAAACACTTATTTAAAATGTTCTTTATCTCAGGCACTCTTTTAGGTTGCAGGGATGAAGCAGTGAACAAAACAGACAAAAACTTACCTTCATGGTGCTTACAAATTAGAGGGGAGCTAAACGATACATATTACCTGAGCCAAATATGTGTTCCACAACCAATCAAAGGGAAGATTGAGAAGAGACTGAAACTTTAGTCCTGGTAGTCGGGGAATACTTTGCCGGTGAAGTTTGTTTTGTATAAATCCCTGAGGGAATGAAGAGTACAAGTCTTTTACTTTCCAGAATCCGTTCTCTCTGTTACTTAGGAGGAGAAAGAAGAGCTTCTGCAGTACAAGAGCACAGTAGCAAGCCTGATGGGGAGAGCCAAAACCATAATTCAGCTCAAGCCGAGGAATCCTGACTGTCCACTCAAAACTTCTGTTCCCATCCAAGCTATATGTGACTACAGACAAATCGAGGTACGTAAAGATTTTAAAACCAAGCGGTGTCTGTCATTACTCCTTTTATGTTTTGGTGCTTTGAGACGAGGTTTTGCTGTTTAGTTCAGTCTGGCCTTGAACTCAGTGTGCAGACCATTCTGGCTTTGATGTCACTGTGATCCTCCTGCCTTAGCCTCCTGAGTGCTGGGATCACAGATGTGCTTCCCCACAGCTGGCTTATTCATGTGTTTTTAAAATAGTATCATAATCCTTACTTCTGATAAAGTTTTGCACCTCATTAAAAAAATCCCAAGATTGAGTATGGAAAGGTTTAGTTACTAGTGCCCTCATTGAGTTGTTCTGTTCTTCATTTAAAACTAGATAACTATTTACAAAGATGATGAATGTGTTTTGGCAAACAACTCTCATCGTGCTAAATGGAAGGTCATTAGTCCTACTGGGAATGAGGCTATGGTTCCGTCTGTGTGCTTCACTATTCCTCCACCAAACAAAGAAGCAGTTGACTTCGCAAACAGGTGTGTATGCATTTGATATTAAAAGTAGCTGGTTTGGAGGCTTTCTGAAGGTTAAAGAAACAATCAGTGTTTTGTCAAGGCTCCATAAGACCAAGGTTTAGCATGTTTTCAGAAGAAACAATAAAAAGATGTGCTTTCTCTCATACGTTTCAGAATTGAGCAACAATATCAGAATGTCCTAACTCTTTGGCATGAATCTCACATAAACATGAAGAGTGTAGTGTCCTGGCATTATCTCATCAATGAAATTGATAGAATTCGAGCTAGCAACGTGGCTTCAGTAAGTATAAATGTACACATCATCTTAGTATGTCCAGAAATGTTGGGCATCTTGTCCTAAGTGGGGTGGAGTTGTTCTTTGCCTGTAATAAAATGGAGTCCAGCATATCTATGCTGATGTTTAAACATTCAGTAAATACCTGTTACATGCCCATCATATCCACGCCACTTTCTAAGAATTCATGTCTTACTTTCCTCATCACTTGGACTAAATACCTGACACCTCACCTTAAAGGAGGAGAAGTTATTTTGGCGCATGATTTCAGTGTGTAGTCAGCTGGTTCCCTGACAGGAAGACGTGAAAGGTTCCGGGCAGGGCAAAGCTGCTCACAGCAAGGTGGCCGGGAAGCAAAGAGAGAAGGGACACGTCTGGGAGGTGGATCCATGCTTCTAGGTCACACCCGCAGCGACCACTTCTGTTAACAGCAAGTCAGCGACATTGCTCCCACGATTAAATCACTTTCCAGAAGTCCTTCCTGTGAGCACATGAGGTTCCCGATAGACATTCCTCATCTAAACCATAATCTGGAGATCACAGATTTCATTCCATGCTTCCTGAAAGATAGGAAGGTAGGACGTAGTCTTTAGACATGCAGAGAGAATGGGTGTAGTTTGATTTCATTTATTGAATTTTATAGACTTGTTTTTCAAAACCAGAAGTTGCTAATAAAAAAAGGAATTTCAGGGTGGGCGTGGTGGTGCACGCCTGTAATCCCAGCACTGGGGAGGCTGAGGCAGGAGGATCCCTGTGAGTTCACGACCAGCCTGGACTACGTAGTAAGTTCCAGGTCAGTCTCAACTACATAGTGAGACCCTGTCTGTCTCAAAAAACAAAACAAAACAAAACAAAAAAACAAAAAAAAGAATTTCAAGTGATTCTTTTTATTAATGTAAGCTGGAATATTCCCTGAGATCGATCCCATTCTACTCTTAACTCTTAGTGCATGGACCTTTGTTCCTTTTTAGATAAAAACCATGTTGCCTGGTGAGCACCAGCAGGTTCTGAGTAATCTACAGTCCCGTTTTGAAGATTTTCTGGAAGATAGCCAGGAGTCCCAAATATTTTCTGGCTCAGATATAACACAACTGGAAAAAGAAGTTAGTGTATGTAAGCAGTATTATCAAGAACTTTTGAAATCTGCAGAAAGAGGTAAAGTATAGGGCTCTCTGTCTTTTTTTCACAATGGGTGTTTATCCATGCAGTTTTCCTCTCTCAGTGGAAATCTCAATCTTGAGTGTATTGTACCATTTGGCCTATGATAAGTGACACAATTGCTGGAACACTGGACAAAGCTGAGAATTGCGGGTGTAACTCAATGGTAGAGTACTTGGCAAGCATACACAAAATCCTGGGTTTAATCCCAGTACTGCAGAAAAACCAAAAAACAAAAACAAAAGAGAGACAAGAAACAATGTTTGATATAGGAATATGCAAAAAGGGATTCATTAGTTTCTAAATGGTGAGTTAACAAAAAGGTGCTAACCATGTAGTGCAACAAATGATGAATTCATCTACTTTCAACATTTTTTCTGTTTTTCATGGTAATAATTCAGAATGGTGATCCTTCATTTTGAGAAAAGTTAATTGTTTTCCTCTGTAAAATTTTATGCAAGTGCTAAAGTGAAAGATTTTGTTTAGTTAACTTTTGTTAAAATTTATATTTTACCTTTTCACTTTAAAGTTTTTATAAGTTTTATGATTAACCAGCAGCATAACTTAATTTATATGAACATAAAAAAGAACAACATTAATTAGACATCATAAATGAGAACTGGTACTTCAGATGATATTAGGGAAATTTTATTAACTCTTCTTAATTTTTAAAAGTCATTTTAAGGTATATTACCTTAAGGTGAGTTTGTGATAACAGGGACCATTCTGAACCATTTGTCTGACTAGCTGTAACCCTGTAATAGTAAAGCTGCTGTTAAAACAGGAACAAGAACATCCAAAGTACGAAAGATATTTTCTGAACATTTATTTTTACAGAGGAGCAAGAGGAATCAGTTTATAATCTGTACATCTCTGAAGTTAGAAACATTAGACTTCGGTTAGAGAACTGTGAAGATCGGCTGATTAGACAGATCCGAACTCCCTTGGAAAGAGATGATTTGCATGAAAGTGCATTCAGAATCACAGAGCAGGAGGTGAGAGTTACACTTTTGTTGGGAAAAAATAACTTAAGGTAGTAAGGTAGTAGCCTCTTAGTGACCTTAGATCTCACCTCCTATAATATCTTACATGTTCAGGTTTGCACACTGGTTACTTGGTGAGTTCCAATCATGTATTTCTTGCTGGTTGTAAACCAGGTTCTGTACTTCAGTTCCCCTTCTGACCTTGGGAGACACCAGGGCAGGTACCCTTTTGATCTTCCTGCTGGGCTTCTTAGAGGCTTCACACACCAGCTATGTGCCAGAGTACTAAGTTAGGTGTTCGGGTTAAGGACATGGACAGTAAAGAAATTGTATTGTTGATTGTAAAGCTGGAGTGCCATATCTTAGCTTCTTTGTTGAAGAAAAAGTGAAGAATGTGTAGATTTTTAAGTCTGTGGTCATAATGTAAAATGGGTTTGTAAATTGTTTTAAGAAAAATACCCCATTTGGGGTAGCTGCCTGATACCTGTTTGGTTCATTCTGTTTTGTAGAAACTAAGGAAAGAGCTGGAACGACTTAAAGATGATTTGGGATCAATCACAAATAAGTGTGAAGAATTCTTCAGTCAGGCCGCAGCTTCTCCATCTGTGCCCACCCTACGATCTGAGCTCAGTGTGGTCATTCAGAACATGAACCAAGTCTACTCCAAGTCTTGCACATACATAGAGAAGTGTGTAACTGCCGTGTTCATATGTAATTTGCTTCAAACAGTTGTCGCCTATATGCTGTTAATTTAACAATTCATTTATGTGAACATAAATGTTCAGTTTTATTTTATCTTAAAAGATGTATTAAATATCTATGTTCATTTTGATGCTTCTCCATGTTAGAAAAGGCTGTACCTTAGAGGTTAGTGTAGAGCACATTTCTTCCCACATTTCAATTTCATAGCTTAGCTGTTACAGCTTACAGGTTTTTCTCTCATGCTTGGCCTAAACAAGTGTAGAAACTGTCTTATGTTAGAATCTCTTTTCTTAGATATCACCTTTGAGCTGGGCATGAATTGGAGCACATGTTGTCTGTTACAAGAGTCAAGCCTAGCATGGTGGCGCATGCTTGTAATCTCAACACTGTGGGAAGCTGAGAGGACTGCAAGTGCAAACTCAGCCCAGGCAGCCTAGCAAGTGAGCTAGCCTGGTCTTAAAAAAATAAGAGAAAGCAAAATATAAAAACAAAGCCTGGGAACGGTAGCGCATCCGTGCAGAGACCTTGGGTTCCGTGCTCAGTATTGCCCCTCCCCTCAGCTGAATGACGGCCATCTTTTAGTCAATGTGTTCTTACAGTGTTCTCAGATGAAGAATGTGATAATGGTGCTTTAGGACTGCATTATGCAAAAATAAATATTTAACAGTGGTGCTATTTAATTCCCTTGAAAAGGTTGAAAACGGTCAATTTGGTATTAAAAAACACTCAAGCTGCAGAAGCCCTTGTAAAACTCTATGAAACCAAACTGTGTGAAGAAGAAGCAGTTATAGCTGACAAGAATAATATTGAGAACCTAATAAGTACTTTAAAGGTACGCATCTTAACGGATTTTTAAAAAAATAATACTCCTCAAGTATTTCTCCAACACTGAGTTCATCTTCAGACATAAAGCACCAGATATCTTACTTTTGATTGTATTAGTTCTGTTTCATATGTCTGTACTTCCACAGGTTACTGTAAATGTATGCATTCAGGTATTTTAGTTTGAAGAATGTGCTTTACATTTGAAGTTTGAATCTTTTGTCAGCAGCTTTTCATAGTTCATGTTGATGGCAAGAGGAGTTCAAATTAAAAATTAAATTATTTGTAATAGAGGTACTTATTTTTAAATGCCAAGAAAGTAAAAAGAATTAATTTAAGAAAAGGAAAGCTTGGTGATTGTACTCATATGTATCTGAATTTCTACATATAAATCACCAAATGAAACTATTGCAAAGCATTCTGAAGTTAATTTGGTGTTTTTTTAATGCATGTATTCATTTCAGACAGTGGGATTAGTAACAGACAGTTGAAAAAATTATATTACTTATTGAAGCAACAAACTTGCTTATGAAGTATACCTTATTTTATTGATATGAAAATTCTATTAGACAAAACTTTATAAAATTTATCAATTTTATTTTATTTATTTTTTTATTTTTTGGGACCAGGGTTCAAACTCAGGTCCTTGTACTTGCGAGGCAGGCGGCAGAACCACTGAGCTAAATCCCCAGCCCAAAATTTATCAAGTTTAAAGATTAAAGGATGGTCAAATATTGGCCGTTTAGTAAGGTTAAAGCTAATATAATATTTTATACATGAAAGACAGCCTTTCCTTTATCTGTTTTTATATAGTCATTTGTAAATGAATGGTAACCTTGGGTAAAAAAATGTGTTCCCCATGACTGGCTGATACATTTTTGTAACTCTCACCAATTAATGTATCTTAGCAATGGCGATCTGAAGTAGATGAAAAGAGAGAGGTGTTCCATGCTCTGGAGGATGAGTTGCAGAAAGCAAAAGCCATCAGTGATGAAATGTTTAAGACATACAAAGAACGGGACCTTGATTTTGACTGGCACAAAGAGAAGGCAGATCAGTTAGTCGAAAGGTGGCAAAATGTTCACGTGCAGATCGACAACAGGTTGGTATCTCTTTTTGTTCAGTCTAAGCACAGATTAATGTCTGTGTATACTATGGAAAATCTAAGCTTATCAGGCTTTTAATTGTAAGACTGCTACCTAGTTGTATGATTTGTCCTATGGTAGGCATTAGCACTTCAAGATGAGCATGTTTCAACTCTATTATTAAAACATTAATTTATTCTTGCATTTGCATAATCTATTTGCCTTTTTGTATGAAAGATAATTTATTCTGTCGTTATTACCAATATTCAAATAAACTGAATCATATACTTTTTTATTAATACTCTATGTAGCAATATATATTTGTTCTAAGAAATATGAATAAATTGAAATGTCTTGATGTTCATTTTAATTGATACAAGAAAGCTGAAATCATTTGCTCAGTGACTGAATTAAAAACATGAAAGTAAATGGGATACTTTTAGGGCCCATTTGAAAAGAAATGGATTAGTATTTTTTTCCATTTATTTTTAATCTTTATAGAAATCTCTATACATTGAATGCATTATGATAGTTCTCTTCTTGAGCAGTAAAATTATGTTGACATATGTGTTTATTATCTCATCTCTGTAAAATATAGGATACAAAGTTCCAATGTGTTGAATTTAAAATAGTAACAGGTGTTTTTAAGTACAACTGAGACCACATTGAATCATTTATTGAACTTCTCATTTCAAAAGAGAACTGCTACTGGATGCAGGTCTTGTCTATTGAAAGCATTTTGATTTATAAAACTTACAGTGGAGTCTCTAGTTTTTCTGCATTTTAGCTTCTATGTCTTGGCCTTTTCCCTAGCATAATCAGTACCATGATATTTCCTGACTACTACAGTTGTGTTCATACTCCACTCACAGCCAGTGTGTGTCCCGTGGAAACGTGCCTCTGGGCGCTGCAGCTCAGTGAGGCACACTGACCCATGCGGTGCCTGGAGAATTAACGGGTGGTTATTATCTCACTCTTCCCTGCATCTCCTAACTCGTCATGGATTCTGTGGGAAACTGCAACTGTTCTGTCACCGTTCTCTTAGGTTACGAGACTTGGAGGGCATCGGGAAATGCCTAAAGTACTACAGAGACACCTATCATCCTTTAGATGATTGGATCCAGCAGGTTGAAACTACGCAGAGAAAGATTCAGGAGAATCAGCCTGAAAATAGCAAAACCTTAGCTACTCAGTTGAATCAGCAGAAGGTATGTAACAAAGATTGTTTTTGCCAAGGTTGTCTCTGCATTTGATCAGTCATGAGCCTTATCTATCTTTCTTAGGTTAAAACAAAAAGCAACTATTTAGAGAAAAGTGGAGAACATATAATAAATAATAAAATCCTGCCACCCAAACCTATAAACACCACTGACTTTTATTTCCTTGAAGTCATTTTTGGAAGCACTGATAGTAAGAGGCATGTTGAGATTTTTTTTCAGATTTCCCAATGATCATTTATAGGTGTGGAAATCTCTTTCATATTTTGCTGGCCGTAATAGTTCTATGAGTTCCTACATAAGTTAAAATGCCTAGTAGTAAATAGTAAACAGTCACATTTAGCAGACAGTTGAATGCCTTGAAATTTTTCTTCCATCTTTAGAGGCCAGCAGTAATTTCTAGCTCTGTTTTTATCAGAAATATGTGGTAGCCAAGGGCATCAAGTCTTAAGAATAATTGCTGTGGTGTTCAGTAATTTCTGGTTTAGAAGCCTCATGAGGGTGTGTCACTTCTGAGTCTCAGTCTGGTTGTTCACAGTTTACCTATGAGGCAAATTGCATATTAAGTACAAAGGGCTCAGGAATACTGTACTGTACTGTTAAAATATGTGTGTGCTTCTTAGTTCCTGAGCATCTTTAAGAAGTAGAATAGCATAGAATTCCTTGTCCTCTTTCTTTTAAACTGTTTATATTTATAGATGCTGGTATCTGAAATAGAGATGAAACAGAACAAAATGGATGAATGTCAAAAGTATGCAGAACAGTACTCAGCTACAATAAAGGTAAGATTCAATTTAGTCAGATTTAATATTCATGTTTATAACACTGTTCTTTTAAGGACATTTAACTCTGTGTTGAAATGTAAAGAGAGAATCCTTATTTGAACGTATTTTATACTTACCTGATAATTCTTTGTGAAATCTGAGTCAGGTGAAAGCCCCTTTATTGATTTATTTTCTCTCTTTCTCCTCTCCCCCAGTCACATGAGTACGCACACACCCCCCTACCAAAATAGAAAAAGTTTAAAAAACAAACACCACCTTCCACATCTCCTGCAAACTAGAATAAATATATAGCTTTGAATCTGCTTTCCCATCAGTTTTCTATTCTTCTTTTTTCTTTAACATTGGCAAGTATTCTAACTTTCTAACGGATGGTACATTTCTTTCACTTTTTGGATTATTATTAACAGTTCCTCAGTTTTCTAGATCCACAGTTCCAATGCTAGGCTGGTGGAGGCGGAGGCTGGCTACAACTAAAATATTTTAATAAATACTTTCATGAGCTTCCAAAGAGACCTGTGAACTTTCCTTACTGCCTTATATGTTTCTTTTATTACAATCTTGGAAAAAATTCAAAGATCAAATTGATTTCTGTAAATGTAGTTTTAGAACTTTTTAAAATTTTTATTTATTTATTTATTTTCGAACATTTTCTTTATTCACAATTAATTCCGTGAAACTAGACTTTAATTCTTTGGGTTTATTCTCTGTATACGCTTCAGGGCATTACTTTAATTTTACCTTCTTGACTCTTACCCAGGACTATGAATTGCAAACTATGACCTACTGGGCCATGGTGGATTCGCAGCAGAAATCTCCAGTGAAACGCCGGAGAATGCAGAGCTCAGCAGATGTCATTATTCAAGAGGTAATAAAAGTATCAGAGAAGGGAAAGAGGGTGTAAAAGGAAGAAGCAACATTCTGTAAGATAATTTTATTTGTATTATGGTGAAACATATGTAACCTAAAATTCACCATTTTAAAATGTACACTTTAGCCAGGCATCATGGGACATGCTTGTAATCTCAGCATTTGGGAAGCTGAGGCAGGAGGATCACCATGAGTTCTGAGGCCAGTCTGGGCTGCACAGTGAGTTCAAGGCCAGCCTGAACTACATAGTATAGTATATATGTATGACCTTGTCTCAAAATAATGGGGAATAAAGATATACTTTAATGACATGTTAGTGCATCACAATGTTGTACAACCCTTAACAGTGTTCATTTCCAGAGCTCTTTTTATTACTCCATAACAATACATTTTATTGTGCATTTAAAAAAACCATTTTAACATCAAGATCATTTCAAGATTAGTTATTATTTTAGACATAAATATGTACTTCATAATTAAATTTAATACAACTATTTAGTGTGATGTGGACAGGCTTCCCAGTCACTGTTGATTTTAGGAGAGTTGGGTGCTTTATTCTCCTAAAGCCTGGGTAATACTATAATTATTACTGAAAGTTCATTCAGCTTGCTCAAGGCACCTGGAAATTATGTTTTTGTTACTATTTTTTTACTTGCAGTTCATGGACCTTCGGACACGGTACACTGCTCTGGTCACACTCATGACACAATATATTAAATTTGCTGGTGATTCATTAAAAAGACTGGAAGAGGAGGAGGTAACAACTATGGCAGTTAAATAAAATGGGAACTTTGTAATGGTTTGGGAAAGCAGCGATAAGTTTCATGATAAATTATATGGCTGAAATATAATATGCAAGTAATTATACAGTTGCATTGAAAAAGAATGATGGTGTAGGATTTTTATTTATTTATTTTTAAAGATTGTCTCAAATAGAAAAGCATTTTAAAATTTTAACTTCTTCTGCCATTCCATGAGGCCCTGGGTTCAATCTCCAGCATTGTAAGCAAAAGAAAATAAATGCAAATTTTTCACTTCAGGCCCCTAATATGATGGTGTAATTGCCTTAAGTTAAGAAATGTTGGCAGTGTGGCAGAATTTTTTCAGCTTTGTCGCAGCTGAGAAGTATATTTCTCTAAAGTATCTTTACTACCATTATGATGTCTATAGAAACACTTGTTTTATGCATTTTACATGAATTTATATCTTCATGGAAATTAATATAATTTAAATATATTTTACATCAACTTAAAGCAGGAGTTTGTACGAAGCAAGGCTCCTATTTAAATATTGTGGAGATTAGGCCTTTGTGTTTTTGCCAAAATGATATGATGCATGATAAAAAGATTACATAAGTATTCTGATCTGGAGGATTTCTAAGCTTTGACTCTGCCTTAAACAATTGCATTCAGAAATCGAGTAAGGAGTTATTTATAAAAATAAATTGTAATGAAAGTCTGTTGTTTCTAATCTTGAAGGAATTACTCTTTGCCCTATTATTTTTGTAAGCTTTCTATTCCTAGCCTCCTCAGAACAGACAAAAATAGTGGACTGAATTCTGAAATAAGTGAATTGTAAAATATGGGGCATCAACATTGTAATTGGATTGTGCTTGAAATTCAGAAGGTGCTTATAGTTGATGTAGTTCATTTCATACAATGAAAGATCAGAAAAAGTACTAGATGCCTATTAGTTGTTATTTTCTTTGTTTCTGAAAATCTGAGTACTTTTGTAAACTATTTCAGTCTGTTCTGAGTTAACATTTTCTGATGCTAAATCACTAATGGAGCTAATCTTGACTATAGCAAGCTTCCTTTGGTGCTCAGGAAGGAGAACCAGAATACTTCCGATCCTCTTAATAATTGCCATGTACTTCTTCCAAATGAAAGAGCATCTATAATTTTTTTACCTTTTTAATTTTTGAGAGTTCTTATTTCATGTTCAGTGGCATGCATATTTTTGATTGGTATTTATAGTAGTTAAATATAAAGTAAAATAATTCCTTGGTTTCTTATAGTGCTTATGTGATTATACATATACAACTTGTACAAGTGTACGTATACACTTGCCTCAATTTTTCTGATAAAGCAGAAGTTGATAGAAACCAAAGATATTTTAAAAGGCCTAAAATAAATGGAAATCATGATTGTGATCCTTTGAAAGTTCAAGGATTTATAATAAATTAAAATAAAAAAGTATATAGCAGATGATATGCAAAGAATAAAATTTAAATAGATCAATAACCCCACCACTTAAGGATCATATTCATACAGTGGCCTATAAAAGATAAATTTTTAAGCTTCAATTTTTAGACTCAAGAGTAGTGTTTCTTGAAGAGCCACAGGAGCATGTCTTGGTTTTTCATAATTAGCATAAAATCAAAGACAGGTTCCAGTTAACTTTAGAAATAATACAAATTAAAGAAATGTGTACAGTGATAAACATTGTACAGCGATATTAGATTTGATGAAGAAATTCTTTGGTTTACATTGAGAGCAAATTATATATTAATTGCATCAGGAAAAATTTAGAGAAAACAGGAAGTTGTTTTTATGTGAATAAACAAGATCTATAAGAAAGCAAATCAACATTTGATTTAAATTATTTCAAGTAACTTCTCTAGCATTTGCTAAAGTATTTAGAGTTACCAGGCAATCAAAGATTATTAACAAATCATGACAATGACTCTTAAGTGAATATTGAGGACTCAGTCACAGATAGATTTTTTTCCCTGAGGAAAACAAGAGGATGAAGGAAAAACAAGTGCTTAAAGTCTCTTAGCAAAAACTAAGTTGTAGCGAACTAGGAAAGACCCTGTAAGAAGTAATAAAAAAATTAAAACTTAATTTTTTAAATAGGTAAAATACTTCAGTGTCACCAAGAGTTGACCTGATACCAAAGTAAAGAAAGAGGCACCTTGAGTACATCAGGTTGTGATTTGATTTGCTTTGGGTGAATTCTTGAGAGAACTGCATTTAGGTAGCAAAGGAAATGACAAAAACTCTTGTCAAAATTACTGGAGAACAGTAAAGAAATGAAAATAATACATTGTCTGTTACAGAGGCACAACCTGTGGCACTTTTGCCACAGCCAGCTGTTTATTATCATTGAAAGCTCTAAAGGATTTGCTGCCACTGTTCTATAATATAAATTAAATTCTAGAAATTTATTAAAGGCTCTCAATGAAAGCAAACCTACTCTCTAAAACAGTTTCTTTACTCTTGTTTAAGTTGTTGCCAGCTATGGTCATTTTGAATTGATGATGCTAAACTATCACCATACCAATAAAGTGATTTTACACTATAATCAGAACTGATCCTGATCTTGTAGTTCTGTGAAGTAGATAGACTCTTCCCAGCTGAGGTTATGACCTCAGAAAACTAAAAATTCTTATGTTTTATTTAATAACTGGAGCTGAATCTTTGAGTATATTTAAGATGAATTTATATTTAACAAATAGCTTTTGTTTGTGAGATATCTAGAGGTACTTGTCAAGGTGGATTCGTAGGAATGTGTCAGTAGCAGCAACACCCACGGATGTGAGTATATGCAGCACAGATTCTCAAACTGTCAGGGGCAAGGGCTGCCTTTGCATTAGCACTTTTGATTATTATAATTGGCTTCCATGTGGCAAGTATAAACAAATTTGACTAAGGAATTTTCAGATTTTTATATAAATATCCTCCTTCCCCATCTTAAATATTATTTCTGAATTTGGCTCTATGTTCTGAAGTTCTCCATTTTGATCTTTTTAACCATAAAACATGGGACTGTAAGCATCTTTTTAGGTATCCTTCAGGCTAGCTTCTGAAAACTAAATTCTTTCATGTTACTTGGTTCCTGAAAGCTGTATGTTTTTCTCATTGGATAGGAGGAGTCTTTTCCCCAAGAGCAGAAAGAACACTGTTGTGAAAGTGTTAGCATCCTTTTTGTCACTTACCCAATATGTGAGTTTGAAAATTATTTAACCTCTGTCTCAACTTCTTTATCTGTAAAAGATCGGGATCATACTACATATTCTGTAAGGCCCTTCCTTGTTATAAAACCACGAGTTACATAATTTTTTAAAAGGAAATTATTTCTGAGAGGCAGACAAAGAATCTTCAGAAATCCCACCCAGAGGATTTTCTGTCTTCTCCTGCTGCCGAGCTGCTGAAACTTGCTCTCCATGCAATGCGGTGCTGGTGGTGGTAATGGTGCTTGCTCCGCATTGGGTTCACTTGGCTTTGTAAGTACTCAGAAGGACATTGCTTCAGATGTTGTAAAATTAGTTTGAACAGAAAGGGTTTGACACTTTACAAACATCTCTTGTAGATGAAAAGGTGTAAGGAGACTTCTGAATATGGGGCCTATTCAGATCTGCTTCAGCGTCAGAAGGCAACAGTGACTGAGAATAGCAAACTTACTGGAAAGATAAAAGAATTGGAAAAAATGGTAGTTGAATTAAAGAAGCAAAAGTCTCGAGCAGAGGAAGAACTTCCAAAGGTCATGCAGGCTGCGGAAACTGAACTGAGAAAGCAGCAGAGAAATGTAGAAGACATTGCTCTGCAGAAGATAAGGGCTGAAAGTGAAGCCCAGCAGTACCGCAGGGAACTGGAGACCATAGTGAGAGAGAAGGAAGCCACGGAACTGGAGCTGGAGCGGGTGAGGCAGCTTACCTTGGAGGCCGAGGCCAAAAGAGTAGCTGTGGAAACAAACCTCCTAAATTTTCAGAGTCAGTTAGAGCAAAACACCTTCACCAGAAGAACACTGGAAGATCATCTTAAAAGGAAAAATTCAAATTTGAATGATTTGGAGCAACAAAAAAATAAGTTAGTGGAAGAATTAAGAAGAAAGAAAGACAGTGAGGAAGAACTCTTGAAGCTTGTAAAGCAGATGGAAAGAGATCTTGCTTTTCAAAAACAGGTGTCAGAGAAACAGTTGAAGGAAAAGCAAAAGACTGAATTGGAAGCAAGAAAAAAAATAAGTGAAATTCAGTATTCATATAGAGAAAATACATTACCAGCTTGTGCAATCACACAGCCTCTGTCTTGTATGGGAATAGAAGGTCTTCAGAAAGAACGTGACAAAAAGAAAGCGGAGGAACTCAAACAGCAAGTGGAGGAACTGACTGTCGCCAATAGAAAGGCAGAGAGGGACATGAGAGAGCTGAAGTATGAGCTTAATTCCCTCCAGCTTGAAAAGACTTCATCTGAGGAAAAGGCTCGTTTGCTAAAAGATAAACTGGATGAAACAAATAATGCACTAAAGTGTCTTAAGTTGGAGTTGGAAAGGAAGGATCAAGTAGAGGAGGGATATTCTCAGCAACTCAGAGAACTTAGTAGGAAGCTGAACCAAACCACAGATAAAGCAGAAGAAGTCATGCAAGAAGCAAATGATCTTAAGAAAATAAAGCACAGTTATCAGTTAGAATTAGAATCTCTCCATCTTGAGAAAGGGAAACTACAAAAAGAAGTAGACAGAATCACTAGGGCACATGCTATAGCTGAGAGTGAGATTGAGCATTTAAATTCCCAAGTTCATTCTTTTCAGGATGAGAAGGAATTCTCTAATGAAAGAGGGCAACTCTGCCAGAGAAAATCAGATCACCTGAAAGAACAGTTTGAGAAAAGCCATGAGCAGTTACTTCAGAATATTAAAGCAGAGAAAGAAAATAATGATAAAATCCAGAAGCTCAATAAAGAATTGGAGAAAAGTAATGAGTGTGCAGAAATACTAAAGCAAAAAGTTGATGAGCTTACTAGACAGAATAATGAAACCAAATTAATGATGCAGAGAATTCAGGAAGAATCAAAAAATGTTGTCTTAGAGAAACAAGCCATCCAGCAGAGATGTGAAGTGTTGAAAACCCAGGCAGATGGTTTTAGGGATCAATTGCGCAATACAAATGAACACTTACATAAACAGACAAAAGCAGAACAGGATTTCCACAGAAAAGTTAAAAGCCTAGAAGAAGACCTGGTCAAAAGTCAGAATTTAGTAAGTGAATTTAAGCAAAAATGTGACCAGCAGAACATTATCATCCAGAACACTGAGAAAGAGGTTAGAAATCTGAATGCTGAGCTGAATGCTTCTAAAGAGGAAAAGCGACGTGGGGAGCAGAAAGTTCAGTTGCAGCAAGCTCAAGTACAAGAGTTAAGTAACAGGTTAAAAAAGGTACAAGATGAACTGCATTTAAAGACCATTGAAGGGCAGATGACCCACAGAAAGATGGTTCTATTTCAGGAGGAGTCTGATAAATTCAAACGTTCTGCAGAAGAGTTTCGAAAAAAGATGGAAAAATTAATGGAATCCAAGGTCATCACTGAAAATGATATATCAGGCATTAAACTTGACTTTGCTTCTCTTCAGCAAGAAAACTGCAGGGCTCAAGAGAATGCCAGGCTTTGTGAAACAAATATTAAAGAACTCGAAAGACAGCTCCAACGATACCGTGAGCAAATGCAAGGGCAGCATGTGGAAGCAAATCATTACCAGAAGTGTCGGACATTGGAAGATGAGCTGGTAGCTCAGAAATGTGAAGTTGAGAAGCTGAAGCAGAAAATGGACCAACAGATAAAGGAGCAGGAACATCAGTTAGTTTTGCTTCAGTGTGAAATACAGAAAAAGAACATTGGGAAAGACTGCACCTCCACATCAGACTTTGAGGTGACTCTGAGGGAGCATCAGCACTCTGGAGAGCTCCCCTCTAGGCACCCTGGTCACCTAAGAGCCAGGTCTCCTCTGCTCAGATGGCCTCAAGAGCCACAGCAGGTGGAAGAGAAATGGCAGCATTGTGTTGTTGAACAAATACCCAAGGAGGTCCAATTCTGGCCACCAGGGGCTCCACTTGAGAGAGAGAAAAGCCAGCAGTGTTACTCTGAGTATTTTTCTCAAACAAGCACTGAGTTACAGATAACTTTTGATGAGACAAACCCCATTCCGCGGTTATCAGAAATAGAGAAGATAAGAGATCCAGCCCTGCATAACTCGAGACCACCTGTCAGGCACCAAGATGACCAGCATGAGATGGAATTGGTGAAGCATCTGACCCCCTTGGAGGTATACGCTGTGTTCTGAGCCCTTACCAGCTAACTACTGTTGAGTTTCTTCTTTAATTGTTTTGATCTCCTACATGAAGTTTTTAACTTTTTGAATATGTTTGACTCTCTGTACTTCAGAGAGAGCTATAATACTATAACTTTCTAGTGACTAACTTGAATATTATAAATTATCCTTTTATGTGTGAATGTTTGAGATGAAACAGATCTAAAGCATATCTTGTTGTTTCTGTGGAAATACGTTTTGAAAACTGTGATTCTAAACCAGTAGAATCAAGCAGTTAACTTTAACTTGTAACATATTCTGTGATCCGATTTAATCTCGGTCATACCATTCAAATTATATTATCATCTAAAGTAAACTTGAGGCTCTCAATATTACTGCTGAAACACCATCAGAAAATTTTCTCCATCTTAGCAATTTGAGGAATTGTGTTTGGATTGAGAATGGGTCAAGTGATACAAGTTCCTTAGATGACTCTTAACATCTTAAAAATTCCTGTTGCAGATAGTTAAGAATAAGCACTATGATATGCATAAAGAAGTCACATCATTAAAGCAAGAAAAGAACCCAGTTCCCAGTGCTGAAGAGTGGATGCCTGAAGGGGGCAGAGCGTCTGGTGGACTCAGGAGAGATTTCCTTAAGAAAAACTCAGAAGTAGAGACTTCCCAGCACATTGATGGCGATCGTGTGTGTTCAGTTAGGGATGATGAGTTTAAATTCCAAGGGCTCAGGCACACTGTGACTGCCAGGCAGTTGGTCGAAGCTAAGCTTCTGGACATGACAATTATTGAGCAGCTGCGACTTGGTCTGAAGACTGTTGAAGAAGTTCAGGAAAGTCTCAGCAAGTTTTTGACAAAAGCCACCTCCATTGCAGGGCTTTATCTAGAGTCTACAAAAGAAAAGATTTCATTTGTGTCAGCAGCCAAGAAAATCATAATAGACAAAATGACGGCTTTGGCCTTTTTAGAGGCTCAGGCTGCAACAGGTTTTATAATCGATCCCATTTCAAGTCAGACGTATTCTGTTGAAGATGCGGTTCTTAAAGGGGTGGTTGACCCCGAGTTCAGAATTAGGCTCCTTGAAGCAGAGAAGGCAGCCCTGGGATATTCTTGTTCATCTGAGACATTGTCGGTGTTCCAGGCTATGGAAAATAGAGTACTCGACAGACAGAAAGGCAAACATATCTTGGAGGCCCAGATTGCCAGTGGTGGCGTCATCGACCCTGTGAGAGGCATCCGCGTTCCCCCAGAAGTCGCTCTCCAGCTGGGCTTGTTAAACAGTGCCATCTTGCAGTTTTTGCATGAGCCATCCAGCAACACCAGAGTTTTTCCTAATCCTAATAACAAGCAAGCTCTGTATTACTCAGAAATGTTGCAGATATGTGTGTTTGATGTAGATTGCCAGTGCTTTCTGTTGCCATTTGGGGAAAGGGACATTTCCAATCTCAATGTAGCAAAAACTCATAAAATTTCTGTGGTTGATATTAAGACAGGAGCAGAACTGAGTGCATATGAGGCTTTCCAGAGAAACCTAATTGACAAAAGCATTTATCTTGAGCTTTCAGGACAGCAGTATCAGTGGAAGGAAGCAACGTTTTTTGAATCGTATGGGCAACCTTCTCATGTGCTGATAGATACCAAGACGGGGTTACAATTTAATATTAATGAAGCTATAGAGAAGGGAACAGTTGACAAAGTTTTGTTCAAAAAGTATCAGGAAGGTCTCATCACTCTTACAGAACTTGCTGATTCTTTGCTGAGCCGGCTAGTTCCCAAGAAAGACTTGCATAGTCCTGTTGCAGGCTACTGGCTGACTTCAAGTGGGGAGAGGATCTCTTTACTAAAGGCTTCCAGAAGAAATTTGGTGGACCGGACTACTGCCCTCAGGTGCCTGGAGGCCCAAGTCAGTACAGGGGGGATCATCGATCCCTTGACTGGCAAGAAGTACAGGGTGGCCGAGGCTTTGCACAGAGGCCTTGTTGATGAGGGCTTTGCCCAACAGCTGCGACAGTGTGAGTTGGTGATCACAGGGATTGGTCATCCTATCACTAACAAAGTGATGTCAGTGGTGGAAGCTGTAAATGCCAATATCATAAGTAGGGAAATGGGAGTCCGATGCCTGGAGTTTCAGTACTTGACAGGGGGCTTAATAGAACCACAGGCTCATGCTCGATTGTCAGTAGAAGAAGCACTCCAAGTAGGTATCATAGATGTGCTTATTGCCACCAGACTTAAGGATCAAAAGTCATACATCAGAAACATATTATGTCCCCAGACCAAAAGAAAGCTGACTTACAAGGAAGCGTTAGAAAAAGCTGATTTTGATTTCTACACAGGACTTAAACTGATAGAAGTGTCTGAACCTTTGATGACAGGAATTTGTAGCCTTTACTATTCTTCGTAACAGAAATGTTTAATTATAAAAGGGGCCATGCTGGCTGGTGCATGCCATCTGTCTAGAGTAGATGGAATTGGATAAACATGTAGTCTAGGAATTGTGCAACTGACTCAGACCACTGTTTGTTTCTTGGAGGTTCAAAATAGCTCACTGCTCAAAGGGAATTGCCCTTAAAAAGGTTCCATTTAGTTTTCAGGATAGTTGTTTTGAATCTTGCCACACTACATGTTTGATGGGTGTGGTGATGCACGCCTGTGATCCAGGCACTCGGGAGGCCGAGGCAGGAGTATAGCCATGAGTTCAAGGCCAGCCTAGGTTACCTAGTGAGTTCAAGACCAGCCTGAACTACATGATGAGACCCTGTCTAAAATAAAATAATCATGCTTTACCTACAATGTGGAATAAGCTTGATGAACCTCAGCGTTTCACAGCATCGTTTCCTCACACCTCCCTTTCTCTGTGTGGATCCAGCCTGGGGTTTGCATTCCTGTTATTAAATGATGTGTTGTGCTTGCTAAAAGAGCACCTCACAAAGCAGCATGGAGTCAAAGGAAAAGATGTGAATCTATTCCCTTGTCCCTGAGGCTCAGGTTGACGTTGCTTAAGAAAAATAAAAAGTTTTGTTTTCTGCATGTAGCAACATTCTTTACATATTAAAATATTTACTGTAATCTCTCTGAATTAAAGCTAACATGAATGTATTGGGTGTCAGAGGAGGGGAAGGATCTTTCCTTGTTCTTTGTTTTTGTCTGTGAGTTGACAGTGCTCAGTGTCCATTGTCTGATACTTCTCTGTCCAAACAGCCCAGATTGTGATGTTGATGCAAAGGCAGCCATCCAGGATCTTCTCCTACTTCATGAATAAAGTTGCGTTCCTATGTCCTATTCATGGAGTTGCTGGAAGATGAGACTAGTGATGAAAGGATGTTTTGCATAGCTTTCTTTGCTCCAGTAAATATTTTGGAAGCATATCTGCTGTGTGAAATGATAAACATGGTTAAATGAATAAAATATCTCAATAACGTGTATGATGGAAAAGCGTTTTTATATTTTTGTTTTTAGTGGAGAGATCAGTTTAATAGCTCAGTCATTTATAGGGATGTCTTTTTTTTATTTTTTTAAAACAAACTCACACCCGTCAGAAATCACTGGAAGAAGAAAAGAAAGACCATGTTGAAAAAGCCAAAGAATTGCAGAAATGGATATCAAATATCAGCAAGACACTGAGAGATGAAGAGAAGGCTCGAAAGTCTCCCTTCTCTGATCAAAAGGTATTCACAGAGGTCCTGGTTAATAATAATACTGAGCTGTGGAGTCCACCTAACACAATGTTAAATTCTTTACCTTAATTTTTGTAGACAGTTATTACAAAACCCAGAGAGGTTAGGTAATTTGCCCAAAGAAGCACACTTAGTATGTGGCAGAAGAAAATATCCCAGATTCCAAAGCCTGAGTATGTATATGAATTTGTGATTAGTAAACTCTCATAGGTTGCGCTGCTTTCCTTCGAGGGCAGGTGACTATGATGATTACACCTGAGGTGCAGTCATCTGTCCTTTGTCCAGAGCAGTCCCTGAAGACACAGCAGTTTGTGAAGATACACAGTCTTGTTCTCACAGGTGGAAATATAAAAACTAAGACCCGTGCAAATACAACTTAGGATAGTAACATTTTGGGGTAATAATTTCAGATGTGCTTGCCTGGATCGTTTTTATTTGAGAAGGAAGTGTCTGCAGTCAATTAGTAGAAATTTCAGATTCTTTTCCTTACCCGTGGGGGTTTCAGTTCTGAAGGGCTGTCTCTGGTTCCCCACTGCTCAGCATTAGTTGGATGGCAACAGCTGTGTGTGATGTTACTGCTCCGTGATTCCTTTGGATGGTAGCACTGGAAGCTCTCAGGACATTGGTAGTCAAGGTGTAATTCTAATGGTGCTGCTACTGGTAGTAGAAATTGCAGCTGTGTTTAAAGAAAAAAATTTTTCCTCCAAGGTTAAGGTCCCCACCCCAGAAATACTTTTCGAATGCTGTCCTCCTGCCCCTGCCCCTTCTTCTTCCTTTTTTTTTTTTTTTTTTTTTGTTTTTTT